CAGTGCGAAGAAGCTTCTTGACTTATACTGTTTACTGAGCGTAATCTAAACCGTTTTAAGAAGAAGGACGACTGATTTAATCAATCTGTCACAATATAACCAATCTCTTCAAGGCGAAACTAAATGAAAAGCGAGACTAAAATAAAATGCTACTATTGCTCCATCTACACCTTAATTACAATTTCCTCAGTGTAATTGGAATCAATAATGTTCCTACTACCAACCATAAGTTGCGACCTTGACGATTTCATTCTTAAAAAACATCAAAATTACAGGACTGAAAATACCTGAACAGTCGTCGTAAAATTTTCTCCTGAAAAAACTTCATCTAAATCCAGCGACTTTAGTCGGCGTTCACTACCTTTCGCACATTGTTGTGCGTTTCCATCCATAATTTCCACTAAGTGTGTGTAACTAACTTAACATCCACCTATACAGACACCGCCTGTAACACATGAAACATTTATCAACAATTACTTAGACTAAAGAGAGCCAGTCAATATTTTGATATTCTCAACAAGTAGAACGATTGTTTAATGCAAAAGTAAAGAAAATACTGCGAAAAAATGACTATTTGAAAAATAGATAAAGATACTCAAAGAAAAAAAAAAAAAATGAAAAGTCTATTTACAAAATACATCACCAGGCAACAACGATGTATAGATGTTTTCGCTGTATACCACAAAATATGGGAAGAACTGGCAATGAACTGCAGATAAAACTCTGCAGTTGGAATGGCAAACAAAGTCAATGCGAGCAAACGATAAGAAACTTAAGAAATTCATTTAAAGGAATCAATGTTTAAAAAAAAAAGACTCCTGGTTTAAACAATGTAGGACAAAATTCGTGTTCATTTGTACAGTAGTTGGAAACACAAAAAAACTAAACAAAAAAAAAGGACAATAATAATGGAACAAAGCAGAAATACAGAAACCAGAACAAAAAATACTCCAATATTTACTACCAAGTAGCAAAATACCTTTTTTTTTTGCAAAATATACAAGCGACGAATCCATCATTATATACCAATGATTAACGGCTAAACTAAAATTTTTCCCCTTCGATAATCTGTTGTAGAAAAGTCGACAAAGAATTTTACACTAACGGTGCCGTAAAAAGGATATTTGTTCGCAGTTGCCTGTTCATCTATAAGCAGAATCGAAAAAAAAAAA